CCTCTACAGCAGTCCGGACATGAGATCGGAGCTAGCCCATGAAGCAGCCCAGTGGAGCTGGCTGCTACCTCCCTCACCTGACCCGAGGGGCCACTAATGATTGTAATCCTTCATACAGCAATTATTTGTTGATGACCTCCTCTGCACAGACACAGTTCTAGGATTTAGACAGGCCCGACCCTGCCTGTGGACCTTCCTGTTTGTGGGGCAGTAATCCACCATTACTCTTGCCTCACGGAGGAGAGCCTTCCCCAGAACCCTGGGCACACATGCAGGGGGAGAACTGGGCACTGGGACAGCAGAATGGAGGTGGCCTGTGACCTGGGACAGGAGAGAAGCATGTTCCAAGGTGGGGGATGTGCTGGATGTGAAGGAGCTATGATGATTGGAGGAACCCATGGGAGACCAGCATGGCTGGAGCCAGCAAGCAGGTGTGGGTGCCAGAATACAAAGCTGGAGTGGAGCTGGGGACAGTCGAACCGGGCCAGTGGCCCTTATGCAAGATTGGGGATGTTGACCTAAGAACCACCGGAGAGTTTTAAGATTAGCTTTTTATTTTATTTTAATTTTTAATTTTTGTTTATTCATTTATTTTATTTTAGAAAGAGCATGAGTTGGGGAGAGGGGCAGAGAGAGGGGGGGAATCTTAAGTAGGCTCCATGCTCAGCATAAAGCCCAATGCAGGGCTCGATCCCATGACCCTGGGATCGTGACTGAACTGAAATTAAGAGTCAGACCCTCAATTGTGCCACCCAGGTGCCTCTAGCTTTTAATGTCTTTATTTTTTAAAAAAATTGTTTTAAGTGTATTTATTTATTTTGAGAGAGAAAGAGAGAGCATGAGCAGGGGAAGGGCTGAGAGAGAGGGAGAGAAAGAATCCCAATCAGGCTCCTCACTGTCAGTCCAGGGCCAGGTGTGGGGCTTGAACCCACAAACCACGACATCATGACCTGAGCTGAAGCCAAGAGCCAGATGCTCAACCTACTGAGCCACCCAGGTGCCCCCATTTTTTTTTTGAGAGAGAGAGAGAGAGAGAGAGAACAAGCAGTAGAGGGAGAGAGAGAGAAATCTCAAGCAGGCTCCACACCCAGCGTGGAGCCTGATGTGAGGCTCAATCCTATGACCCTGAGATCATGATCTGAACCGAAACCAAGAGACGCTTAACTGACTGAGCCACCCAGGCACCTGAGATGGTGTAGGTTGTCTTAATATGCAGAATCAAATAACAAAAATGTCAACTATTCATCCCAGAGAAAATAAGAAAGCAGAGATTCTGCATGAAGCTGAGTTCAGCATAGGGCTGCAGGATCACTGAGCGACAGAGTGTGTCAGGAGAGGGCCATGTGGTGGCTGCAGCCATGACAAAGCTGGCCCTGGCAGGGGGGGCAGAGTGGGGAGGGTGGGGGCCAAGGAAGAGGCCCCCATGAGAAGAGGTGCTGGAGGAAGGGTGGTGCTTGCTAAGCACATGAAGGACCAGTGGGAGAGGTAGCCGGGAAACCAGCAAGTAGAGGGTCCTGGAGCCTCAGGAAGAGTGTCTTGAGAGGTAAGATGGGGTCAGCCACATCATATGCTATTGAGAGGCCCAGTAAACTAAGGACAGGGATGTGTCCTCATGAACAAAGGTGGGCACAGTTGGGGGTCAGTGTGCCAGCAGTTCAAGGCATGGGGGCCACATGAGGCTAACACTGGACAGGTGGGTCCCCCTGAGGTGCAGATGCCCTGGGAGCTGGGGCTGGTGCCCCATCCTCAGTCCTTCCTAGCCAGGAAAACAGGACCAAGAGTTAACAGCTTGGGGCTCTGTGGTGAAAAGAGGAAGGGGGCCCTAGTGATTAAGCCTTGGACTTCACCAATCCTGCAGGGACAGATGGCTGAGGAGTGGCCTCTCCAAGTGGTATCAACCTATCTCCAGAAAATGACCAAAACTCAGTCACAGAGCATTCCGTGCCTGGGCATCATGTCCCTTCAGTTCCAGAGCAACTGGTGGAGCTTTCTGGCTCATCAGTCACTGAATCCGTCCTGGCACACCAGCCATGCCAGACCGGGGGCCCTCCCCAAATACACCCATGCCTCGTGCCTTTGCCCTTCTGCCCCATGAGGCCCAGCTCCCCTGGGCCTACCTTCCTGCATGCCCAGAGTGCCTAGGACGCTGGAACTCCTCATCTATGCGAGTATGAACCTGTCTCGTCACGACTGGTCCTGGGCAGATTGTGCCATTAGTCTCCCCACTACCCGAAGATGGGGGTGGTGGCATCTTGCTTGTCTCTGGATGCAGGCAACAGCACTCTCCTGTCTGACTCTTCTCCCGGCTTGACCTGCTCTCCCAAGCCCCTCTGGCTGACTCTCAGGCTGTGGCGGGGCTGAGTGGGTTTCTCCAGTTTATTTCCTTGGGGTCTGTGCAACCCCCCAGCCCCAACTTGAACAAGCCGTTGCAGATCTGGGTTAGTTATAAATAGCCAGGCCTGCAACTCTCCTTTTAGCTGAAAAGCAAAGTGAACGAGCAGAGAGAGACACACCCGGCACGCGTTTTATTTTTAATCTTCTCCCTCTGTCTCAGAATGAACTGGGGTCCCAGTGCTCAGCATTTCTAGGAGCAGAAGCCCAAGACAAATGCCTGGGGCCCTGGCTTTGCCCCTGTCTGCTGTGTGATCTTGGGCACTTGAGTTGCCACTCTGGGCCTTGGTTTCCTCACCAAGGGAGGGAGCAGTGGAGGTGATCACCTCCAACAGTTGTTCTTGGACTGTCTTCCTCTGCCCTTCCCCCTCGCCCCCCGGCCCCCGCCTGTGCCCAACAACACCTTTGGGAGGAGAGGGTCCCCGGAAAGCCTAGGTGCAAGTGAGGCCCCAGTCAGGCCCCAAATTGGGATGATGCACAAATTCCTCATCCCCAACCCTTTGCTTGGGTGTCCCCCAGCTAGGAACTTTCTTCCTCTATGCAAAATCTTTCCAGCCAGCCAAATCCTTGAAATATCGAATGTTACCTCCCCATGGTGAGCTAGGAAGGGGCTGTCTGGGTCACGTTGTGTCTGAGTTGGACCCAGGGCTGGAGCAGGTAGGGAGCCTGTGGGCAGGTGCCTGGGAAATGGCAGGTGGGAAATGGACCTGGAGCAGGCCAGGTGTGTGGTCTGGCAGTGCCCTGATGGGGAGGGTGAGGCTGAAGGGGAGAGACAGAGGCTGTGTTCCTGCAGGGCAGGGACTGTGCAGCTTTTGTTTTTGTATCACACTCCTCTAGTGGATCTCAGTGATGGTGGAGTCCCTTATTATGCTAGGCCCAGCTGTTTTGGGCTTATGATGATCGTCCCTTACAGAGAGCATGTTCCCACCCACTACCCATTGCCATTGCACAACTCCTTGCCAGCTAGGCTGGTTTCAATAATGAGGAAACCAGGCTCGGAGAAGTTAAGTAACTTGTCTAAAGTCACACAGCTGGATATATTTAGAAGTCCAAGCTAGGCACTTTTGGAAATCCATGTGTACTAAATCTTAAAAAGCCTAGTACTCTTTAAAAAAAAAAAAAAAGTGTATTTATTTTGAGAGAGAGCGTACATGCAAGTGGGGGAGGGATCGAGAGAGAGAATCTCAAGCAGACTCCATACTGTCAGCACAGAGCCCGACGCGGGGCTCCATCTCACGAACTGTGAGATCATGACCTGAGCTGAAATCAAGAGTTGGAAAGTTAACCAACTGAGCCACCCAGGCACCCCAAAAAGCCTAGTCCTCTTAAAGCAATGGGAAACTGCTTTTCCTGTGTCATGAATGCCCTGAGAACAAATAGGGCAGACCTACTTCTTCCACCATGACACCCCAGTGAGAACCTGGCCAGGGAACTGGGAGCCACTGGACACGCATCTGTGCCTCTCCGCCCCCTCACCCTGGGGGCACCTGCCATTTGACATCCTCAGGAAGTGAGGGAGGAAGGCTGGGGTGATGTCTTCAAAGAGGAAATCCCTGGTGCTAATTGGCACTTAGAGACCTTTCGGCTAATTAACCTGTTTATTTGTCTCTAGAGCAAATTAGAGGGTTTAGCTGGGGAGGCGGAAGAGAGAGGTGTTGCTGGTGGCCACCTCCATGGGGGCTATATATGGCTTCTTGGTGGGTGGTGTGGGCCACTGGGGAGGCCAGGAAGAGGGCTGGGAGGTGGGCTGGGAAGAGTGTGGGCTGCCCTTCCATCAGTGCCCTGCTCACTTCCCAGTAATGGCTGCTATGGGAGCAATTCTGGGCACATGGGAGTTAGGCCCCTTGGGGGTGCTGCCCGGGCTGGTTCCAGGTTCCCCTCCAGACATCTGCCGGAGGGAGGAGGAGCTAGCTGGAAGGAGGGAAGTGGAGTCCATCCTTGGGGAGGCTCACCACACCACTTCTTCCAGCCCCAGCGCCCCAGCCATGCTGCCATGTGGAGTTCCCCTTTCTGAGGGGGTTTTTTAGACATCCTTGGCCAGAGTCCATGAACTTCCTGTCATCTTGGGTTGGAGGCACAGCTCTTTTTGTATATAAGATGCCAGCCTGTTAGCTTCTACCTCAGACTTGATTGCAAGCTCTTTTCCCTTTCCCCAAGGGCTGGCCAGACTGGTCTGGGGTTTCCAGCAGCTTAGAGAGGTTTCAAGTGGGAAGGAGGGGTTTGGGTGGTCCCCCCTCCTTCCTTCTGGTGCAGGGTGGGGAAGGGAGGGAAGCTTCTATGCCTGGCCATGCAGGGATGGCTGTTGTGCTCACACAGGATGGCCGCTGCTTCTCAGGCTACTGAACACCTGTTGAACGCCTGTAACTGATGTCCCCCCAGTTACAGGTGACAACAAGGCTGGCACCTTTGGGGGTTCTCCAGGGCTGTGTGGTTCCCACTCTGGCTTGTCATCCATAGCCTCCTGCTAGCTGCTCAGGGGCCCAGGAGCCAGAGGCATTTGCAAACCTCCCCTGCCCCACCAGCTCTGCAGAACTTTCCTGGCTTCTGCTTGCTGCCCAGAATGTGTAAGGGGGGCTGGCCCACACTCAGTGCCCTTTCCTGTTCTGCAGGAGCCCAGGGCATTGTCAACAGTGGCCTGATCCCCTCACTCGTGTGGAAGCTGCAGAGGGAGGAGGAAGAGATCCAGGGGCTCCTCTTGGACACACTGGCGGCCTGCCTGATGGAGGATGCCACCGAGGCACTGGGTAGCCACGTGGTGCCCTTCCTGAAGCAGAAGCTCCTTAGCACCAATGATGACATTCGCAGCAAAGCTGCCCGCACACTCATTGCGGTCAGGTGAGCCTGGCCCGAGTGGATGGAGCAGGGAGGGTGGGAGTGGCCGGCCCTGGGGCTTCTGCTGAGGCTCAGAAAAGGCAACTGAGCTGCCCCCAGCCCTGCAGCAAGCCAGCCTGCCCTGGAGGTCCAGGGAGCCCACCTCAGGGCCTGCTTCCCCTGGCCTGCTTGTGCCCTGGGGGAGAAGGACCCTCTCCCCTGGGGTGGCCACAGCCCTGTTGGCCTGAGGGTGTTCTAGGTTTAGCACTCACAGTCCTGCATCCCAGGAAGCCCCCAGCCCTGGGGAGCATGAGATGGTTGTTTACCCTCTCCCTGTGAGTAGGACAAGCACAGGAGAACTGGTGGTGACAGGGGTCACTGAGTGTTCCCTATGTGCCCGGCATTACCTACACACCGCACATTTAGACATTCCTCCAAGGAAGGTGAGTATCTCCGTTTATAGGTAAGGAAATGAAGGCACAGGGGACCCAGGGTTACACAGAATCATAGTCTAAATCCTGGCCTGGAGCCTGAGGGAGCACAAAGCCTCAGAGTTGGGAGGAAGGGCGGTAGGGAGGCAGCGTGTGAGCCTGGACAGAGATGTTCCCCAAGGATGGGTGGTCCCTCGTCCCCCCCCCCAGGTCCATGCCTTAGATATGGCCACCTGCCTTCATCCTGACACCTCTTGCCTCCCTGAGGCCTGGCTTTCCCTCCATCTGGGATTCTCTCTAGAAACCCAGGCCATCGTTTCTACAAGTGTGGCCCTTGATCCAGACCCCTGGGAGCTTATGAACATGGAGATTCTGGGGCCCCACCCCAGGCCCATCACCATCTGCTCTTTGCTCAGAGGTCCCCTTCCAGGGAAGCCTCTAAGGACCATACCTGTTCTGGAAACTGGCAGCCTCCACCAGCCTGCATGTGCTTTGCACTATTCCCTCCTGTTTTGTGTGCCACCCCCAAGGGGAGTTCCTGAGGACAGGGCTTTGCTCTGTTTGCCGCTTGGGACTAGGGGTTCAAAACAGGGGGAGCTTTGGTCCCCTAGGAGACAGGCAGCACTGTCTGGAGACATTTTTAGTTGTTCCAATGTTGGGGAGAAGGGGCACTCCTGGCATCGAGGGGGTAGAAGCCAGGGATGCTGTTGAGCATCCCACAATGCAAGGGACACAAGAACCATCCAGCCCCAACATCAGTGGTGCTGAGCTGGAGCAACCCTGCTCTGGCCTCAGCATCTGGCCCCAGGGCCTGTAAGGTGCTCGGGCAGCCCTGGCTGTGGGAATGAACAAACACATGGGACCCCTGCAGGCGGGCCTCAGGACTCTGCATCTTTGATCAAGCTCCCAAGGGGAGCTCATGGGGAGTCCATGATGTACATTTTCACAGCTTTGTACAGTGCCAGGATTAGAAGTGACTTACAGCATCTTCTCTCCTGAGGGTGGCTCTCTACCGGTGTCTCCCTGGCAGCTTGCTGCTATTTGTGTGGCTGAGCCCATCCCTGGTAGCTCTGGCTCTTACATGGAGTCAAAATGAGTGTCCCTGTGGTTTGCACCCCTGGGTCCTGCTGCTCCCCATTTTGGAGCTGGGGGGGACATGTCTGGTTTTTTTTTTTTCCATGTGATACCTTAGGACAAGTCTCCATCACCCACCCCACCCTGGCTCCTCTGTGGTTTTGCCTTCAGTGGCCACAGGCCATGCTCCCAGGTTGTCTGAGTGTGGGGGGTGAGACCCAAATCTGTGCTCCCTGGTGCCTTGGTACCCATTGGCTAAGCCTGGACCACCAGGGATAGTCCCAACACAAGTCTTTCTGGTGTCCCCTGGGGTGGTCCTGGGCCCTGCTCACCTCCTCTTGCAAAAGTGAAGCCACATAGTTGTTCCCTCTCTGGTCTAGCATCCCTCTGGAGGGCAAGAACCAGGTGTGGCAGCATGACGTCATCCCCATCCTGGTGCACCTGCTGAAGGACAGGGTGGAGGAGGTGCAGGCCAATGCCGCCGGGGCCCTCATGTATGCCACGGTGACAACTCAAGGTGAGGCAGCTTGCTGGCCAGGTGCATCCCCTGTGTAGGTGGTGGAGCTTACTGGGCAGTGGGGGGTCACTGCAGCCTCCAGCATGCTGGCTGTCCCTGCAGGCTTTCCAGAACTCTCGTTTTGTGCTCAGCATCCTACTGTCCCCTCCCTGCCCCACCAAAATACTTTCCCGGCCTGTTGTTGAAGTCCTTTCAAGTTTGGGCCCGAGGCTCCACCCTCCTTCTTCTTCCTGGCCACAGTGGGCCACCTACCTGTGGTCCCTCCTGGTCACTCCCATTAGGACCTCTGTCCCCTCCTGCCAGGCTGTTCCCTGGGACTGGAATTCCCACCTCCAACCCAGGACGCTTGTAAGCCTGGATTCTGGGATTAATTATGTCGTTTGCCGTCCTTGATTTGGTTATCCTGAGCCCTAGGCAAACAACTGGAGCCTTGCTTTCATGGGGTTTTTAAAAAAATTTGTTAAATCTTTATTTATTTTTGAGAGAGAGAGAGAGAGAGACAGAAACAGAGAGTGAGTGGGGCAGGGGCAGAGAGAGAGGGAGACACAGAATCTGAAGCAGGCTCCAGGTTCTGTCAGAGAAGAGTACAGAACCCAATGCGGGGCTCGAACTCACAAACTGTGAGATTGTGACTTGAGCCGAAGTTGACGCTTAACTGACTGAGCCACCCAGGCACCCCTTCATAGTGTTTTTTTTTTTTTTTTTTTTTTTTTTTTTACCAAAATTACTTTTTTCAATGGGTGGGGTAGGCAGCAAATAAGAGTATGAGATTACCTCTCCCACCTGGGGAACCCCAGCCAGTTAGGCTTCCATGTTAAGTTATCCAACCCTGGGCTAACAGGAGCTACTGGGCTGGTTTCCCCACCTGGAGGCCAGGGTGGGTAATCCCACTTGACCTCTGAAAGCTGTCTGTCCTTCCCTATGCTCACAATTGCCTGTACCAGCCCTATGCCCTGTGCTTTCTTGGTGTTCCACAGAGGACTGACTGGGTCTGACTCTCAATCAGCATGCTGTAAAGCCCCCCAGAATTGGCCTCTCAGCCATTCCCCACTAGACCCTAATGGTGGAATTTGAGACATACCAGAGGAGGAGAGGTTGGGGCCTTCCTGGAGCCATAGCCTCCTTTCGATTATGCAGTGAGGATGCTGACCACCAGGGCAGGGGCTCCCCCCAGCACATTTATTTCTTGGGCGTCCTCAGTGCTGTGTCTCATTTGGGCTTCCTGTGGGAGTTCTTGGAGGGCCGGAGGGCTCATGGTGGGCCCAGGTAACAGCTAGAACCTAGGGATGTGAGGCCACTTTTCACAAAGCTGGCACTCCAGCCAAGGGTCCCCACGCCCCTGCCATGTGCCAGGCCCTGTGCTTGGTGGCGGGGACCTGGACATCTCAGCCTCTGGTGAACATTGGTGGGAGTGGCAGAGGGTTGATGATATAGAAGAGAAGCATGGCATGTGGTGGCACAGGGCAGGGGCTGAGCCTCCTCTGGGAGGGGCATGGGTGTTGATCCAAGGGACAGTGGGAGTCAGCACAGCGGAGGGTAGCTGGACAGGTCCCAGCATTAAGAGAAGAGTACATCGGGGTGCCTGGGTGGCTCAGTTGGTTGAGCGTCCGGCTTCGGCTCAGGTCACGATCTCATGGTTTGTGAGTTTGAGCCCCGCGTCGGGCTCTGTGCTGACAGCTCAGAGCCTGGAGCCTGTTTCAGATTCTGTGTCTCCCTCTCTCTCTGCTCCTCCCCTGCTCGTGCTCTGTCTCTCTCTCTCTGTCTCTCTCTCTCTGTCAAAAATAAATAAACATTAAAAAATTAAAAAAAAGAGAGAGAGAAGAGTACATTAAGCACAGCAGGAAGGATGGGAGGCAGGGGGCAACCATCTGGCCTTTTAGCAGGCCAGGACAGCGGGGAGGTGGTGAAGGTTAAGGAGCAATGTCTTCTTTACACATTAATGTCTGTGCCCTCCACTAGACTGTAAGCACCAAGAGGGAGAGAACTATGTGAGTTTTTGTGCCTGACACAGAGTAGGTGCTCAAGAAGCATTTGCCACATAAATTAACAATTGGGTTTTACTTTTTGTGTTTCCTTGCGAAAACTGGATTGCCGGAGAGGCATCAGGGTGGTTGGGGAGAAGCCAGTTGAGGGGCTGGAGGGGCAGGAGATGAAGAGGGCAAGGTGGGAGGCAAAGGAAGATGCTAGGCCTTTGAGGGAGTGAGGAATGGCACCTCCCCTGAGGCCAGATGCCAGGATTGGGCTGGGGTGAGAGGAGGTAGAACAGGAGGCCCCCTGAGGAATGCGTGGTGTTGGTGGCCCACAGGAAAGTATGCCGCCCTGGACACAGAAGCCATCCACCCGCTCCTGAGCCTGCTTGGCTCATCCTTGAGCAAGGCACGGTTGAATGCCACCAAGGCCCTCACCATGCTGGCTGAGGCCCCCGAGGGCCGCAAGTTTCTGCAATCTCGTGTGCCCGTCTTCCGTGTCCTGGAGGATGACACCAGTGAGGCCGTGCGGCGGGCAGCACAGATCGCCATCAAAGTCATTGAGTGGAAACCCTGAGCCTTTTACTGGGCCAGATCTGATAAGCTGCATGCCTGAATAAATGGGCTGAATCTCTTTATCTTGCGTCTGAATGGCACTTTATATTCCTGGAGTGTGGTCACATCTTCCATTTCCTGCAAAGGGGAAACACCTGGCCTCAAAGGACTGGGTCATGGTGGCCAGGCAAGGAGGCATGGGCTAAGTCCAATGCCCAGGGATGGGAGGGTGGCATTCTGGCTCTCTGCTGGGGTCAAGAGTCCCCACAGAAGGTAGACAGCAGGGCTAGGCCCTCCAGAGACAAGGAGGGGCAGGAGTTGGATTGGGAGAAGAAAGACAGTTGGATCTGGCACAACCCAAGTTTCAGACATTTGAGTGACCAGGCCCTTAGGTGTGGCTGGATACTGCCCTGTTCAGCCAGTTCTTCCCCCTTCTCACAATGGGTGTCAGGAGGGAAGGTCACAGTGCCAGCCTATGTGGGCTCTTTCAGGGGGAATGTGAGTTGTATGAGGCCCCCTAGAGATGCACGCCCAGGACAGATATCTTCCCCCAGAAACAAGAAGTCTTAAGAGTAAACTCCCAGCTGGCCTATGCCAACCATACCCCAGCCCCACAGCAGCCCTCTATCCAGCCTTCCATCTGGGCCTCCAACTGTCTCCACTTGCCTCTCTTCTCCCCCAAATGAAACTGGCAAATGAAGCTGGAGAGCTTGAAGGGGTTGGAGGAGAAGCCAGGCTGTGGAGAGTATGAGGCTTGGGAACCCTTTAATCTCCTCCAGCCTTCCCTGCCTGGTCTGGCAGGATGATGGTTCTCAAGCCAGTTCTGACCTCTATTCTAGAAGCTTCAGGAGGGGAGCTTAGCTTCAGGGGAGCTTTTTGAGGCTCCCTGTCTCAAACGAGGCTTTCCTCATTATAGCGCCAACCTGCAACCATATTTCCTATGGGACAGAACCTCCCAGGCTCATGGAATGCCCACTTCTCCCAGAACAAACGTTATCAGCAGAACCAGAGTCTTCAAGTGAGCACCTTCTTATAGTTCTTTCAGTGACTGGGGCTTTTACTTTCCTGGAAGCAACAGAGAAGTTTGTGTCCCTGGAATTAGAGGATTAGCCCAAGTAGGTGCTCTTGTTCTAAAAGGGACTGGCTGCTGAGCCCATCTGGGGTTTAAGGTAAGTCTCATTCTCAAAACCAGCCCCATAGGAGGAAACCTTTTCTCCTTCAGCAAAACAGGTGCTTGAGGACCCCCACTTCTTCATGTCCCCTTCCCACGTCAACCCATGGCAAGCTGGCTTCACATCTACTACCTCACCAAAGAGCTCTGGCCAGGGTCACTGACTGCCTTGCTGCCAACACCCTGTGCTCTTTGTGTTTGATCCACTCTGTGGCCCAGGTGTGGATACCCCCTTCCTGTAGCAGCTGTCTTGGGCCTCCTTCCAAGGCTCTGGCTGTGCTCTCTTTGGTCTCCTTTATAAAACTCCCTTTCTCTACATGACCAGTAATGTTGGCATTTCTCACAGCTTTGTCTAGGCCTGCTCTCCTCCCACTCTGCCACACAATCTCACCTTCCTGGTATGGGCCTTCTCTACCAGGTTCTCTTCTTAGCTAGGCTTGCCCACTGCCTTGTCTCCCCCAAATCTGGGTCTGCAGCCCCAGCCTCTCTCTTAAGTTCTGAACCCTTCTATCCAACTTAACATCTATCCTTAAATGTCTCCAGGCAAGAGTTAACGCCAATCCTTCACAAACTGTTCTGAGAAACAGAAGAGGAAGGGACACTTCCCAACTTGTTCTATGAAGCTAATTTTACCCCCATACCCAAACCAGACAAAAACATTACAAGAAAAGAAAATTATAGACCAATATCCTTCATGAATATAGACCTAAAAACTCAACAAAATATCAGCAAACCAAATCCAGCCACACTAAAAAAGCATTATACACCATGATGAACTGGAATTTATTCCAGGAATGCAAGGTTGGTTTAACGTATGAAAATGAATCAATGTAACACATAACTGCAATAAGGACAGAAATCACATAAACACCTTAATAGATGCAGAAAAAGCATTTGATGAAATCCAATACCCATTTCTAAAAAAAAAAAAAAAAAAAATCCAAACTAGGAATAGAAGGGAACATCTGCAAAAAGTCATCGCTAATATCATTCTCAATTCTGAGAGCCTGGATGAGTTCCCCCTAAGATCAGGATATCTGCTCTCACTACTTCTATTCAACACTGTACTGAAGATTCTAGCCAAAGCAATTAGGGAAGAAAATGAAATGAAAAGCATCCAGATTAGAAAGAAAAAAGTAAACTATCTCTTTTTGCAGACTACATGATCTTGTACATGGAAAATCTCAAGGAATACACTTAAAAACTATTAGAACTAATCAATGAGTTCAGCAAAGTTGACAAAGAAAACAACTCCATTTATAATAGCATCAAAAAGAATAAAATACCTAGGAATAAATCTAACAAAAGAAGTGCAAAGCTTGAGTACAAAAAATAAAACATTGTTGAAAGAAATGAAAGAGGACCTAAATAAATGGAAAGACATCCTATGTTCATGGAACAGAAGACGTACTATTGTCAAGATGGCAATAAGTTTCTTCACGCAACTCAAACTCAACATGTCCCAAATGGTGCTCAACTTTTCTCCCACATCCACTCCTTTTCCAGTGTGGCCTGTCTTTGGAATTGGTGCACCCTTTGCCTGCATGCTTAACCCAGAGAGTCATCCTGGCCTCAACCTCCAGAAGTCTAGTCAGTCAAGTCCCGTTACTTCTGATTGCTGGCTTCTCTTGATGCCATTCCCTTCTCTTTTCTTCTTTGCCACTAACTCGCCTGGGTTGCTCTAAACAGCCTCCTAGCGGGTGTTCTTGCTTCCCTTTAATCTTTCCAGCAACAGCCAGCAAATCTGAACCTGTCACTTCCCCACTGAAGCTCCCAAGAACTTATGATCCCAAAGTATATAAAGCAAATCAGGCCTATGCTCACCTTGCCCTCCCTGTGGCCCACTGTTCTCCTATGCATAAGCCATGTCTTGGCATCCTCAACCATGCTTTCCACTCTTGTGTCATGACTTTCCACATGTTGTCCTTTCTGTTGTCCAGTGCACTGACTTCCTTCTTTGGCCAGGGGAGGCCTTTCTTGACTCAGGCTAGGTGGGCCTCCTTGCTGTATACACAACTCATGGAGAGCCAGTGTGTATCTTTGGTATCAGGCAGGCCTGTTCCAGGCCCTATGCCCATTCCCAATGTACTCAGTTCCCTTGCTGAGCCTGTCTCTTCCCCTATGAGATGTGGTTAATTCTAGTCCTTCCACAAAGTGTGGTTCTATGGCTTGAATGTGATAATGCACTTACGCCTGGCAACAAAATAGTAGGCCATATTAAATGCTGGCTCTCATGGCTAGTGTTTCACTCTCTGCTTCCTATGCTGTATTCACAACTATTTCCTTGTAGCGGCTGGCACATAGTAGGCACTCAAAAATGTCAGCTGAAGGGATAAACTAGGGAGGAGAGACTGCATGTGAGTGTGCCTTGAGTGTGATTTTTGTGATGCTGGGTGGGCCTCTGCCAAATCACTTTAAGGCACCTGGAACTTTATCTAAAGACACATATTATTGATTTTTGAGAAGAAGGAAGAGGAAGGAGCAGCTTATGGAGTCCCTGCAGAAACACAGCCTCAGAGTGGCCTATACTTGACAGCTAAAGGAGTTTAGCTCCTGGATCCAATGCCCAATAACATGCCAATTGTAGGTAGACTGGGAAGGACTGGGAAGAGCTCAAGAAGGAGGAAGTTTTCCTTTCCACCTGCCCTTCAGGGGTGCAGTATGGCTTTAGCCAGACAATGCTGAGTTGTTGAGAGGACTGTTTCACTGAACAGAGACTGCTTCAGCTCCACCAGTGGTCCAGACAGGAGCCGAAGTCCCACCCGTGGGCAGCCTCGGCTTCAGCTGGTCTGTGAGGTCATTGGCAGTGGACACAGCACCTGTAGGTGGGAACCCCACGTGGGGGTGAGGCTTACATTACATGGCATCTTTGCCATCAGGGCATACCTTTAAAAGGAGGAGAGAACAAAGCAAATGGAGGTTGGGCATAGGAAGGAAATGGTTACAGTGAAGTAAACACAAGTAAAAATCTCAAATATATCTAGAAATAAAAAGCCAAAATTAAATTTAAAGTGAAAGTCAGTGTTTATGCAGTAGAGCCATTTGGAGAAAATGACTCATTTTGTAAAGGAACAGATGTTCTCATTTGCATAGTCTCTGGAGTCGCAAATGGACTTCACCCTGTCCCCTCAGCGTGCATGCCCTGCAGCTGGTGGCACTTGATTTGTGACACTGAGGGAGTGTTTACATTAGTGTAATCCTTGGTCCCATATCCATGAGTCTCCCGGTAGGAAACACTTTCTCCACTGGATGATGAGGGACTCTGGAAGAGGCTGTGGTTTGCTTGCTCTTCCCAGACACCCCTGGGCCCCAGCTGCCTTAGTAGTAGTAGATGTGCAACAGGACTATGGTCAATAACAAGAGGAACCCACTGGCATTGGTAATTTCTCTCCTGAAGGGGATCTCTGACATGTCACCATACTTTGTCCCTTCCCACATGTCACTGCGGTTTGTCCCTTCTAATATGTCACCACTCTCTGTCCCTATATGTACATCATGGCACTCTGTCTCTTCCAAAGTGGCACTGTGCTCTGTCCCTTCAGACGTTCCACAGCACTTTGTCCCTTCAGACATGTCATGGCACTTTGTCCCTTCCAATATATGCTCTGTCCCTTCCGATATGGTACCACACTCCATCCTCTCCTTGGCTACTTCTTCTGGGGCCAGTTTGGGGCCAGGCTGTGGCTCCAGTCCACAGAATGCATTCCACGCTTTCCAGAAGCAGCCCTGGGTCTCCTCAAATGCATCTGGAATAGAGGGAACAGGCAAAGGTCAGGATCACAGGCCAGGACACAAGAAGGACTTTCTATGGTGTCATATCTCAGCAGTCCCAGAGAAAGACCAAAAGACTCTCTCCAATATGATCAGTCCTCAGCCCCTGCTATGGAACATCTACCACCATCCTCAGAGACATGGGAGAGTGGGATAAGGGGCTTTGGGAGTTTGGCAGGAGTGGGGTGGGAACTGCCTGGGGCCATGCTTGCCTTCTACTGGCAGAGCCTTCAACAGGGCCCAGATCCTGGAGTGCCTACCCTTCTCTGTCTTAGGCACATGGCCGAACACAGTTCGGTAGGTTTAGGGCACAGGACTGCTCCCCAGTCGCTACTCTCTAGAGGATGGAAGAAATCCCCTGATTTCTGGACACTGCTCTCCTTGGCAAGCTCTCAGAGAATGTTTTCCTCGGGCAGGTATCAGTCTCACGGCCTGGCCCAAAATAAGGTACTCTGGGCACTTGAAGGGGAAATAACTGATGATTTTCAGGAGGCAAAGGAGGGAAGTCTAGGATTTATAGGGAAGTTTCCATTCAAATTAGTGAGAATGCCTTTCTGGGACTTAAAATTGCTCCCTGTCTGTCTGTACAGCTCCTGCTGGCTGCTCCTTTGGCCTGTTCAGGCTCGGGTCAGCACCACGGCTAGCTCCGGCACACCCATGTGGGTCCAGCGGCTGCCTGCAAACAGTTCCCTCCTTGATTACCAGATGGGCATATCTAAGTTCGAGTGTGCACCCAACAGTGTTGGTTGTGACCTGTTCTCTGTCTCATTCTGTTGGGCAGCATCCATGCCAGCCGTGTCCCGAGGCTGAGGTAGCACCATGGATGACAGAACCCATCAGCCAGGGACAGAGGAGCCTCTGTTACACAGGGAGGGCTGCTGCAGCAGGAGGACCTCAAAGCCAGGGACACAGATCTCTGCTGCCAGTGCTGAGAAGTCCTGAGTGGCACATTCTCAACACCCATGTTATCATATTGTCATGCAGCTGCCAGGCCCAAGAGGCTACTGTATGTAAAAGGCAACTGATCATTTTGATGATGGCCCAAGGGCTATATGATGGGCAGTGGGATGGCCAGTGGCCGAGAGCACACATTTTAGTCAAACTTGCCCATGTTCACATTGGTGCGCTATTTCTGCCTGATTATCTGTGGACCTGGGGCAAGTTACTTAACTGTTCAGTGCCTCAGTTTCCCCATCTCTAAGTGGGGATAATAATTGTACCTATCACACACACCTATCACACCACCTGGCACATCCCAAGTGAGCAGTAAATATTAGCCACTGTCATTATCATCATCATCATCATCATCATCATCCACCCATGACTATGGAGAGAGGAAGAAGAGGAACGGGAGGTGCACCAAGAACAAGCACCTGGCACCTAACAAGCCCGTTTCCCCCCACCAAGAGAAGAGACATTCCCAGAGAGTCCTGCATCCTCCAGATGTGTGGGACAACCTTGCTTAGGATACGCCACTCTTCTGCTCTGCACCTGCCCCCAGGGCCTCCTCTGCAGATGACAAGAGGGAGCCTGGGGCCTCTTTGGGCTCTGAACTTCCCTAGCAGTGGTGGAGGGGGGCCCCAGAAGGCTGCCTCCTCCCCTAAACTCACAGCCTCCCTGGGTACTCTCTGCCTGAGACTCAGGACTAATCTCATTAGGCCTTTATCCCTGTTTGCGTCAGGGCCACAAGAAGCTCAGGTCACCCCCCCCCCCCCCCCCCCCCTCCCCGGAACATTCTGCTTCTGCTTGCTGGGACTGAAATCTAACTGTCCTCAGACCTCTTTTCCCAGAGCCCTCTCTCCCTCCCCTCCCCCAGGTTTCTCTTGTTAAGGCAGGGCATCATCTCTATGTGGCTAAATCCAATGGCCAGTCCTAAGGCTTCATCTTTCTTCACTCATCAGTGTTTGCCTCTCCTCCAATGGCTTCTCCTGGGGTGTCTCTTGCTTCTGCCTGGGCCAGATCCCTTGTCTCCTCCCCCTGCCCCGCCCTTCCAAAGGTGGCTCACTGTGTCTGCTGCCTCTCCCCAGCCCAGAAGCCTCTGCATAGATGTCCAGAGGCATCTCAACCTCAACAGACACCCCAGAGGGGGCCTCTGCCTGGAAAAGCATTTCTGAGAGGAGGGACCATGGGGCAGCACAGGCCACATCCACCCAAAACACTATCAACCAGGACCTCCTGCAGGGTTTGGATCCTTCTCACCTGGGTGTGCTTGGGGTGCTGATCTCCTCCTTTGTATTTCTGCATCCAGATCTACCCTTTCCTCTTGACTATTTCGTAAACTCCAACAGAGCCGGTGGAGCTGGGGAGAAAGCGGGGGGCATGTCACCATCTAGGGCCCTGTCACACAGACTGTACCCGGTCACAGCCAGAAGCTGGGCACCAGGGTCTCCATGGACTGAGATGAGACCTGGTTGTTCAACTCCAACAAGAGACAGAAGGAACATGGGGTAGGGAAAGCATGGCACTTGGGGACCTTGGATTTCAGTTCTGGCTCTGGTACTGTGTGCTTGCATGGCTTTGGCACAGGGGACACAAACTGTCTGGGGCTCAGTGTCCTTCAACTATACAGTAGGGGTAGGAGAAAAAGTGCTCAGAGCTCCTTCCAGTTCTAAGAGTCCAGGAACCTGTGCCCTTCAGGATGAGAGCAGCCGCCTGTCACCTTGGTCTGCTTCTTCCGGTGGAGGAGGAGGCCCTCTGACTGGATGTGTGGACAGGGCAGACCCGGGAGCTGCTTTCCTTCAAAGAGCTCCTCCTGCCTGTCAGAGTTGAGCACTAACCCAGCCCAGAAGAGGCTTTACCTGGCCCCCCCACTGAGCTTAGTTACTCAGACTCAATAACGCATTTGCAGATGCAGAAGGAAGTGTCCCTTCCCTTCTGCTCTGTGACTTTGCTCTTGTCCTGAAAACACACATGGAAACTTTGGGAAGTAACAAAATCCAGCCAATTGTTGTTGTTGCTGTTTTTAAGGGCCAACTAAATGAGCATTTCCACCAAGCCTATCCTGGAATAGATTTTGATCTATTGTACCAGACTCATTATATTTGAATCCCAGCATCCCCACCCCAACATATGGCAGGGATATGAACAGGCTGGGTTGGCCCCTCTCTGGCCAGCCCACTCCAAGACCTGCCTGAGCCCCACCTCTCAGACTAAAATGTTGGAAGTAAAATTCTGTTGTATTAATAACAGAGACTGGGTTTAGCCTCTAATTGCTTCCTGATGATGCCATATGTGTATATTTGCCTTCCCAACGACACTATCAGCCCCTTTGGAAGAGGTTGCTGGGTGCACTAGAAGAGCCTGGGTTCATGTGCTGTCCCTGTTGTCCCACCTCCTCTGGTAGGCGGTGAGAAGAGGGTCTGGCCCACTGACACTGATCCATAAGTTCCAGTTCTCCTGTTCACTTCTCCCTCCCTTGTTGGCAGCTGCTTTGTGTTCTCCAGAGCACCTGGCACACTGGGAGGCAGGTGGTAAACAATCAACAAATACTTGGGTGCTTGAGAAGTGGGCACAACCAAACAGTTGAGAGGAAGACAACAGCAAAGAACACAATCTAGACAATTAAGACCCTGAGCAACAGGAAATCAAGTTCCCTACCCACCGCCGGATTCTCAAGGCGCTGGGAGCTGGGCAGTCTCCCAGTTGTCACTGATGCAGCGGGTGTGCACATCCCACACCCCTGGTTGTCCTCCCCATATGCTCTAGCCCTCTTCCAACTGGGCTCTGTGCACAAGAGAGGAGTGAATCAATTGGAAACCACTGACCAGGAAGCATGGCCAGAGGGGAAACCCAAGATTGAGGGGGAGACCCTGAGGCAGTCTTCTGAGTTCAAGGCTTTTACCCAGAACCTAGGAAAAGCTGCAAAACAGGCATGTAGATCTCATAGACTCATCTTCCTTCTGATCTCCTCCCTAAACTTCAGACACAGTAGGGCTTTCTGGCCTGGCCAAGTCCCTGTCCTGCGAAGCCTACTGGCCATGCTGATGGAGGTGATGTAGGGGAGCCAGGTTGGGGCCCAACCCTACCACTTACCTATTTGTGGTACCTTGGGCAGGTGACTTAATTTCTCTGGGCCCAGACTTCCTATATTCCAATTGGGGTGACTGATATCTACTTCCTGGGAGATGGGAACAGCAGCTCAGGAGAAGGCTGAGAGGCACCCAGCCCTGAGATGAGCCACCAGAGGCTTCCAGTATTCCAGTCCCCTCCCCCTTCCTGATGGCTTAATTCCCTGAGGATGGGTGGAAGCTGGGACTGCTCAGATTACATTAATTCACACTGAGGTTAGTGAACTTAACACTTCTAAGGAAAATTTGCATCTTAAAAGCCAAACTTCTCATTCTAAGTGAATATATAATTGGTGAATTGTTGGAAAGTCTTTTAGTTTAGTTTTTATAGCAGGGCCCTTTCTCTGTTCTTTGCCTATTACTGACCCATCCCCCAAGCCCAGTCCCTAGCCCTTCCTCTTTTCAAAAAGAATGCAGGAATTCAGTCACTCTCTCCCAAACCAGCAGAGCCTAGTTACTGCTCACGGGGACTCTGGGACTGAGGGTTGATCCCAGAAAACCTCACAATAGCACTTACATGTTTATCGGGAATTGGGTCCGTGAATAAGGAGATCCCCAGGATGGTGAAAAGGCTGACTATGAAGAGGATTACAGCAAAGTAGAGGTAGTGCATGCCACAGATGATCAGGGGGCACTTGCTGTTTGCCCCACAGCTCCAGGGTCCGTAGGCAAACTCAGACAACATTCGAGAGAAGCCAATCAGAAGTCCTCCGGTCAGCCCCCAGAAGGCACCCTGCCAAAGGAGGAGCCCCAAGAGAGTCATCTGGAGGGGATGGGTGGTGAGACAGACCATCAGCCTCACCTCCCCACCAGTTGAGTTCTGAAATTAAAATCATCATTGTAACAAAGGCTTTAAATATCTTGTGGAAGGAAGCAGAATGTAAGCACCAGTGAGGAGGCCATGCCTTCTTAGGCTGAACCAAGACCTGAGACCCCTGCACTTTCTCTTAGGTCAATCAGAGAACTTGAGAAACACTGGAAACGCTTTTAAGTAAGATCATAAAAAGGCATCTCAAACATCATGTGTCCAAAAGGCTGTGGTGACACCTCCATCTCCCTGGTTGCTCAGGTTGAAAAACCCCAGGAGTCATCCCAGGTCCCCTTATTTCCATCCTGCCCTACCACCAACCTATCAGCAAATGCTGTTGGCTCTGCCTCCAAAGTATATGTGGAATCCCATCACCCTATGGCTACCGCCCTAATCCTGAAACTGCCATCTTCTCTCACATAGGTGGCTTCCCTTCCTGGCCCCTGCCTGCCCACTGTCCTCACAGAAGAGTGAGCTCTTCAAAGTATGCATTAGAGAATGCCTTGTCTCTGCTTAAACTCTCCAGTGGCTTCTCATGGCCTGCCATCAGAATAAATCTCCACCCTACCCATCAGTTGACTTCACCTGGCTCTGCCACTCTCCCCTTGGTCATTCCACTTTAGCCACTGCATGCAAACTTCCTCCTGCATGTTTAACCTGCCTGTTTTACCTGCCTGTTTTGCTCTTGGCTCAGGCCTTTGCACTTGCCCTTCCCTCTGCTTGGGTCTCTCCCTAGATCTTGGTATTTCTGGCTCATCCTTTAAGGTTCAGATTCAAGGTCACTTTCTTAGAAGTCTTCTCCTACTACCTTGGCTAAGGTCCTTGTATCCCCCCTACCTCTAGTGCCTGCCTTGCCACCCTCTACTATCCTTTTTTATCTTTTAAACAATACTGCATCACTATCAGAAATCTTTATCTGCTTATTGGGTATAATCTGTCTCCTCCAGCCAGACTGTCCACACTTTAAGAGTAAGGACTTCATCTTGGCTCTAGAGCTGTATCTGGAGCTTGACTTAGATGGAGATGGATGTCAGAGGAGACAGAAGATATGGTACATGGGCAAACATCTTGGAAAAAGGCCTAAAACCAAAAGCCAGGTGGACGATCCACAGGAACAATTTATTGAAGGAGATGTGCAGAACGGGAAGATCTAGAAACAGATGGGCAGCAGAAGCCAGATGAGCATGCCATCTGAAGCAGAGTGGAGGAGAAGGCCTAGAGAAACTCTCTAGGTCAAAGGGGTACCTGCAATTGCTTGTAACTTTGGACAAGGGGTGTCAGGGGAACCCCTGAGCAGATTCCCAATTTTCTTTGGCAGTAGGCTCCAATACCTCAATGCTGGTGTCATCATTGGGAGGCAGATTCTCGTGACAGCCTGACCCTCTTGCCCATGCCCTTGCCAGCAGAGCAGAGGGCAGCAGCTCTGGCATCTGCAGAGTCCAGCCACCCTGCCCCCCACATTCTTGGTGCTAAGTTGAGTCTTGGTGAGCTGAGCAGAGCAAGGAGCTCTGGCAGGTTGGTCTAGAGGACTGGACACCTGAGATGGGCCTATAGGAAGCAACAGTCATGTGGAAGAGTAAAAAGATATTCCTGGCAAAGCAAACAGTGTATGCAAGTGAAGGGAGAACAGAGAAGGCATAGGACAGTTAGGTAATCAGCACTGCAAATCAATTGGAGTAGCTGGGGCCCAGGGGCTGTGCATGGAGAGGGCAAGGGCCAAGAGGTAGGCAAAAGCCAGATCACATGAAACCTTAGACACTGTGCTCAGGAACTTGTGCAAGGCCCAGCTACTGGGTGCTGCTAGGGGAAACAAGTTATGATTCAAATAACAAACAAAATATTCTAGCAAACCATGCTTTCAAAGTCTTATTGATAAAATGATTGAATCATTAGTAGGAATCTTTATTTAGTTTAAAGTGTGAATGGAAGATATGGTCTTCACTATAGGAAGGGTGAAAGGAGCTCATTACTGTACATCCCCCTGTGACCCTGAAATCACTGAGTATGATGCATCCATGTACAGAGGCAACAGAATTATATTTTCCTACAACCAGATATGTGTGAAGAAGGAGCATGCACACTGCATCATCTATGTCATGGTTAAAAGTGGATTACATTGTAAAGGGAAGAAAAACAAATTAGAGCTCACCTTTTCCCTGAATGCATGAGGGAGCTCAGACTAAGTCTACCCAGGAGGAAATAATCTCTTGGAAAGCAATGATGCAATGGTGTGAACTCTTGAAGCACAAGAAACCCTTCTAGGGCAGCTCTTGCAAAGACAACTATGATGTGAAGGCAAGTCCTCACACTCTGTCTTGTGGTGGCCATGCCAACACCTACCTACCTTTTCAGTGACTCTCTTGCAAAATACAGCAAGCAGGAAGATGGCAGCAATGGGCGGGGTCAAGTAGCTCATAACTGCATGTGTGTATTCAAATAGTTGTTCACTGTATTCTGTTTCCATAATAGGGACCCAGAGGATGGTGACAGCAAGTAATATTATAACAAAAAACCTGTAAATTAAACCAATAGTCAATGGCAATTTGATGAGCTTTATTCCCCCCGCCAGTAAAATATCTATAAACTATAAACTATTAGCTCAATTATTCCTTAGATTAAATTCAGAGGCCCATTCATAAATGTGGAACAGAGGAGACAGCTACATACCTAAATACTGATAGAACCATAAAGCTGCAGATAAAAATCATTTAACTTCTGAACAAATAAAACTGTCCATTTGCCTGTTACTAGACCATGGATAGATTTTCACTACATTTGGAGGGTGTGTTTGGTCAGTCATGCTTAACATTATAGTACATGGAAAATATCAAATTCTTGATAGCACGCTATAAGAAATTTCAGACAGATTAGTACAGCACATAATTTTGAAGATTTTGACAAGTTCAGAAACTTATTTAAATTTTGCTAAAAATTTTATGAAACTGAGTGGAGGCTCCAAATGTTCATTATTTTTTCTTAAAAATTTTTATTTTTATTTATTTTTTTTTTAATTTTTTTTTCAACGTTTATTTATTTTTGGGACAGAGAGAGACAGAGCATGAATGGGGGAGGGGCAGAGAGAGAGAGAGAGAGAGACACAGAATCGGAAACAGGCTCCAGGCTCTGAGCCATCAGCCCAGAGCCTGACGCCAACGGGAGACTCATGAACTCCGCAGACGCGGATGACCTGGCTGAAGTCGGACGCTTAACCAACTGTGCCACCCAGGCGCCCCTCTTAAAAATTTTTAAATGTTTGTTTATTTTTGAGAGAGACAGAGAGACAGAGTGTGAGCAGGGGAGGAACAGAGAGAGAGGGAGACATGAATCTGAAGCAGGCTCCAGGCTCCGAGCTGTGAGCACAGAGCCTGACGTGGGGCTGGAACTCATGAACCGCGAGTTCCTGACCTGAACCAAAGTTGGATGCTTAACTGACTAAGCCACACAGGTACCCCCATTATTTTTTCTAAGTAAAATATTGTAAAATATGTATTGATATATAAAATTACACTAGATTACATGTCATCCCAATGATGAATAAATCTTAGTTCTGTATCAACAAGGGCTTAAAAATTATAATTTAGAGTGAATGACTATAAGATATGAAGGACTAATTCCTTGATAATCAAAGAAGACACAAGGATGTGAATTCCCACCCAAGTAATGATGTGATAGTTTGCATGAGACTAATCCTCCCACAGTAACAATGATAAGTTGTGGGCCAAATATTAAACTGCAACACTCAGGGAGCCAAAAAGCAGGCAGAAATGGGAAAGGATTTAATCCTTGAAAGAATACAACCATAGTGGATGCTATCTACACTACCCAGCTTTTCTTCTGAAGGCTCTTCCTAGTTTGCATGGTGTGGGTGGCTAGAAATTAGCAGAGAGCCTCACTATTACTAGGTTGGGGTATAAGAAGATAGAGGATGGGGATTCAGAGTGGTTGAAAATGCTATGGGGGAATTTTAGAAAGGAGGGAGCTACTGAACAAAGGGGTCCAATCTGTGCATACACTTCCCTTATATCCTTGGCTGATCCCCAAACTATACATGTGTGGGAGAATCTCCAAATAGTCTATCAACAAGTGGCTGCTGGAAGGTTGAAAGAGTTGAGCAGACTTCAGTGGCTGCCTACACTGGGAGAGACAGAAATTGGGAGTTGGAATCTCATAGAGTTAGAGGGCCTGTCTAACCACCTTAGGCTTTTCACTGAAACTCCTGAAGGGCCATGCCTTAGAAGTAGAGACTAACCCAAGACTAAGAATTTGCCATAAGACTGAGTGAAACTGAAACAGACCCACCCTAATAAAGTATAAAAACACACCTCTGCAAGTTTAAGGTGATCAGCTAGTAATTTACCCACATGCTTGAACCAATACACTTTAGAAGACCATGATAAGAGTTTCTACAATAATGTATTTATTCACAACATTCAGTATACAATAAAATTTACTAGGCATGGGAAGAAATAAGAAAATGTGATCTTTAGTCAAGAAAAAAGGCAACTGATAGAAACAGACCCCAAGATGGCTCAGATATTAAAATCAGCAAAGACTTCAAAGCAGCTATTATAGCTACATTAAAGGACTTAAAAGAAATGATGGTTATGAGAGAATAGATGGGAAGTCATAATAGAAAACTGGAAACTATAAAAAGTTTAAAAAGGAACCAAAATAAAAATTTTAGAACTGAAATTCCAGTTCATTGTATGACATGAAAAATTCACTGGTTGGCCTTAACAAATTGTAAATGGTATAAGAAAGGGCCAATAAACCCAGAGGCAGACTGATAGAAATCTAAACTGAAGAACATAGGGAAACTTTAAAAAAATTTAAAATAAACACACCTCAGTGATCTGTGAGACAATATCAAGAGGGCTAATATGTGCGTAAACAAAGTCATAAAGAGGAGAGATGAAACAGAAAAATCGACAAAGAAACAATGATCAAAAATTTCCCCACTTTGGTGAAAACCATTTATGTACATATTCATATGCTCAGCAAAACCAAATCATGATAAATATAAACACATGCACACATACCCTTAAGCATATAACAAAACTGCTCAAAACCAAAAATGAGAAAATCTTGAAAGCCATAGGGGGAATAAAAAACATTACAAATAGAAAGCAGCACTATGAGTTTTGGTGACTTCTTATCAGAAATAAGAGGTCAGAAGAGAATGAAAGAGCATCTTTAAAGTGGTGAGCAAAGTACTGCCAATTCAGAATTATATACCCAGCAAAAATATCTTTCAAAAAACGAAACAAAAACATTTTCCAATAACCAAAAGCTGAGAGAATCTGTCACCAACAGACCTGCATTATAAAACGTGCTGAAGAAAATTCTTCAGGGTGAAGGGAAATTACAGAGATGGAAACTTAAACCTAAGGTTGTAATGATGAGCACCAAAAAGGTAAAATATATGGGTAAATATAAAATGCTACATATTTATTTTTTCTTATTTTAATTTAGTTTATTTTTTTAATGTTTATTTTTGAGAGAAAGAGACAGAGTGTGAGTGGAAGAGGGCAGAGAGAGGGAGACACAGAATTCAAAATAGGCTCCAGGCTTCAAGCTGTCAGCACAAAGCCGGACACAGGGCTTGAGCCCACAGATTGTGAGATCATGACCTGAGCGGAAGTGAGCCGTTTAACTAACTGAGCCACCCAGGTGCCCCTATTTTAATTTAGTTTAAAGGCAACTGACTGCTTACAGCAAAAAATTATATTGCTATCACTATACTATATAACAATTATATACACACATATATATGGGGTTTATAATGCACAGAGAGATAAAATATATGACAAGCATAATGTAAAAGATGGAAGGAGAAAATGGCATATACTGTTGTAGGGTACTTACATTTGACATAAAATGATAGAGTATTAACTCTAAGTAGACTAAGATAGATTAATAATGCCTACTGTAATGCCTAGAACAACCAAAAGAAATTAAAAACTATTTCTAATCATATTAATGATGATGTTAAATGCAGATGGACTTAACTCTCAAATTAAAAGGTAGAGACTGTGGGTGCCTGGGTGGCTCAGTTGATTGAGCGTCTGACTTTGGCTCAGGTCATGATCGTGCAGTTCGTGAGTTCAAGTCCCGCACTGGGCTCTGGTGCTGACAGCTCAGAGCCTGGAGCTTGCTTTGGATTCTGTGTCTCCCTCTCTCTCCGCCCCACCCCTGCTTGTGCTCTGTCTCTCTCTGTCTTTCAAAACTGAATAAACATAAAAATTTTTTTTTTAAGGCAGAGATTGTCAGATAGATAAAAAAATCAAGATTCAACTATATCTGCTTTACGAGGCACTCACTTTAAATATATTTAAAGGTTAAAAGTAAAATAGATTACAAACACTAAGCATAAGAAAGCCAGTGTGGGCTATATTAATAACAAAGTAAGCCTCAAGACAAGGAGTATTATTAGAGACAAAAAGCTACATTTCATAACAGTGAAAGCATTAATTCCTCAGGAAACCATTACAAATATAAATATGTAAGCACCTAATACTAATACTTCAATATGTATAAAGCAAAAATACTCAGAGAATTGCAGTGAGGGAGAAATGACAACTACACAATCACAACTGAAGATTTTAATACGCTTCTCTCATTATAGAATATACTGAATGTATATACGTATAGATATAACATACACACATCATATACATAAAACTATATATACAATATATAACAGAACTAGACAAAAATTAAGAATACAGAAATGTCAACACATTTCAAAAGATTAAAATGTCATATAGAGTACATTCTTGGATCACAGCAGAATAACTTAGATATCAGTAACAATAAAATAGGAAAGTGCCCACTACTTGGACATCCAACAGCACACTTCTAAATAACCCATGAACAGAGGAAAAAATCGCAAAGAAATTGGAAAATATTTTGGACTGAATGAAAATGAAAACACAACCTATCAAAACTTGTGGGATGCAGCTAAGGCAGGCCTTAGAGGGAAATTTATAGCTTTAAATGGTAATCATAAAAAATAAGAAAGGTTTTAAGGCAATGATCTGAATTTCTACTTTAAGAAGCTATAAAAAAGAAGAGCAGTGTAAATTCAGAGTAAATTAAAAAAAAAGAAAGAAAGAAAAGAAAAACAGAAATTGATGGGGGAAAAAATCCACAAAAACCAAAAGAATCAACAATTCCAAAAGTTGTTTCTTTGGAAAGATTATTAAAATTGAAAATCCCTTAGGCAAATTTTATCAAAAGAAAGATAACCCCCCACCACAAATTACCAATATCAAGAATGAGAGTTGGTTATTGCTAAAGATCCTACAGATTTTAAATGGATAATGAAATTATGGGAGGTGCTCAGAGCCATCCCAGTGAAGATGCTTCTGAACATCCTGCTTACCAGTATATCAGGGAATGCAAAAACCATGCTAGGCAAATAACCTGCACCAAGATCAGGACTGAAATACACTACTTGGGTGATTTAGCTTGAGAAGACTGATTACCAGATGTAATGAATGCAGTCTGGCAA